GGTTATTCACTAAATGATTATCTCTAGTATCAGGTTTCTTACCACGGCATGACTTCTTTTTATTTTCCCGATATTTCGGAACGGTTTCACGCTCCATGGTCACGGGTTGACTGGAAAATAAAAAGAAGTCATACCGTGGTAAGAAACCTGATACTAGAGATAATCATTCTGAACAGGGTTTTTTATTTATGATACCAAGTAACTGGACGAACAAATCGTGCAGTGTTGTTCAGAGCCTTAAACAGACATATAACAGACATAATCTGACAAGTCCCGTGTGCCTTTAATTTCACCAACATCCTAAACCCAAAAACCGGAACACAGAAATGTTCATATTACCGCTTGGCGGCAGAAATAGATAAGGTGGCATTACTTCCTGCACGTATTCTTTCACAAGGAGGTGTACTGCTATTAAACCAAGGAAAAGTAAACGTGACGGACGGACGGAAAAGTGACGGAACGAACAAGTCGTGCGTCTGGTGGTAAGCGACACGCCTATCCATCCAATAGTTATAATGCCATTCAGAGCTTTAAATGGCAAAGATGTTATCAATGATCAGATCAATGTCATCGTATCTCCATAGTATAAATTACCTCCGTGTTCGATGCCGGGGCCGAGATAAATATTTTTTAATAAACATATGCACATTTGACTTCCATCTCACCTGATTTAAACTGACGATGAAGTCAACTATGGAGAATACACACCTAAATAATGCCTATTCACTCTCGCTTTGAAAAGGCCCAAGTTATTCCGTTCAGGGAACAAGTCTGCATTTCTGTAGGCAGGGAATTCCGCTCCATAGCCGTTCGCCATATAAACCTGGAAGCGCGTTTCGTTTCGCTTTGTGACAATCCTGTAAATATACACGACGTAGGGGTGGAACCCCAGCCTACGCCTGGTTCCCCGATGATCGAAAGTGGAAGGCGGAATTAAATCGTGCAATTCCCCCGCACATTATCCGTCATTTACATACAGTAGAATATCGATAAGCAGGCAACTTTATGGAGGTGTTCAAGACTCTGTATTTTCACGTATGCTTATTATTATCCTGTAGGTACGTGGAAACGTTATTAAAACTTATTTGAAATGTAGAAGGATTTAAATATTTTATTTATTTGTAATTATATAAGTAAATATTGGGAATAACAACATATGCCAGATGAAACGTTATATAATTACCTATTATAAATAATATGTAATATCAATAATGCAAATGCTATTATAAAGGGTGTGGCTCGGAATATGTAATTATTAAAAAACAGATTTTGATTATACGAATTATATTAATTTTGTTCAATTTAATTTTATCAAATAACGAATATACCCGAGTACATTTTTCAATTCTCCACAGGGAACACGTATTCGCCATCTTTGTTTAACGCACAACACGATTACACTGGTTAATCAAAATGGGTGGAACAGTATTGCTTTTTGACAAATCTTTACGTAAAATTGAATATCTATTCCGTTGGTCTGGGATGCATTTAAGAAACCGAGAAGAGTATAACGTAAACAAATCAAGGACTCTTTATTGCTTTAATTTTATTTTGCTAAATATAAACGTTGTGGGGGCATTTTCTTGGTTTTTAAAGGAAGCAGTGAAAGGAGAATCACTCATTTCACTCACCTATTCCGCACCTACACTGACGCTAGGCATTTTAAGTGTTTTGAAGTCTGCATCGTTCATGTGGTATTACGACTGTGTCGATAAATTGGTCTACAAATTGAGACAACTGGAAACCAAAGCCGATTTCAACAGTACAACAAACAAAGCATTGGTAGAAGAACCGGTCAATTTCTTGAACTTTGTAATAAAAGTTTCAAATTTATTCAACTGGCTTTTGTTAGTTGCGTTTCCGTTAATGCCGCTTGCTACAACGGCATATAATTATTTTATTTTGAATAAAACTGAATTGATGCTGCCTTTTCTCGTCGAGTATCCCTTTGACCCATTTAATATTAAGGTATATCCGTTCGTTGTGATCGATCATATATGGGGGGGTAAGTAATTTGTTTTTTTTTCCTTTCGTTTATATTTATAATAATTATAGAAATAGAAAGAGAAGAAACTACAGTACTTAATTAGTTATTCATAGGTTGCTAACCATATAGGCTACTTTTTAAGTAGTAGTAGTAGAGCTTCATGTGAAAGAGTTCATTTTGGGGTCCAGTACTGCCACCTTACCTATTTCTGCCGCTAAGCAGTAATGTGAGCATTACTGTGTTCCGGTTTTGAAGGATAAGGGTGCTGGTGAAATTACAGGCACATGGGACATTTCCACTTATGTCTCAGGGTGACGGGTGCAGTGGCAGTGCCACTTAGATCTTTGCGATTTAAAGCTCTGAGTAACACTACAACTGTTATGGATAAGCATGTCACTTAGCACCAGGCGCACGACTTGTTCATCCTGTCACTTGGTGTCATAAAAAAAAACTAGACTCTAAAAAGGATTTTGCTGTAGGCTGTAGTAAGCACTGGTCGCTACTGTAAGCAATGAAGAAGGTAGGTTCAAGAACACTTCCTTGTGGAATGCCAATTGAAAGTTGCTCGTCATTAATAATTTCCGATTTCTAGAGCCTGCGAGCGATTGAATAGATAATTTTTGATGCCATTGCTCTGGTACAGGGAAACAGAGAATTCCCTAGTTTGAGACAGGGCGCCAAGACAGACAATGTAGTTGCCTGGCATATTATTATTATTATATTGTTAACTATTAACTTTGAGTGCACCGCCAGATTATGTTAATATGTGCGTCCGTGCATAGAGCGTGAGGATGCGCACACATCGCGCGGTGTGGCGTTAATAAATATAGTTACACTATTTGTCTCATTATTGTTGTTAATAATGCAAGTATTATACATATTTACATTTACAAATTTTGTACTCTAATAAAGAATATTTTTTCAGCAATGGTCGCACTATTTTGGATATTTGCTTCTGAATCTTTCTACTACATCTGTACTACTTTCATCGTGGTTCAATTCAAGTTGCTACAACAAAATATATTACAAATAATCCCTGAAAATAGTGACAGTGTAGTTAGGAACGAAGATGTAGTATTTCATACAAAACTAGTCGAATTGGTTGAGTGGCATCAGGATCTCATAGAGTAAGTAAAATAATGGTTGAAATGATTAAACAATATTTTCACCTCACACGGCTCGGAAAGGCTTTCTCTCTCATTAGAAATTAACGCGCAAAAGCGTTTTTGCACGCTAGCGTGGATAAGGAAAAAATAGATAATGAACGCTACTACGTGATTTATCGCACATTACTTCATTATGTAATATAAATCCGTTGGTATATTTTGTTCTTATTATTGTTGACATTAAATTGACACTGATAACTAATTGTATTTATTAAATTATTTTAATTCGTCTCAGGACTAAATTAATTTCAATAATCACTTAAGTTTCGATGTAAGATAAAGCGCAATAAAACTAAGATAATGATTGTGGATCGCGTTAATCATAATCCGCCGGAAGTTACAAGAATTGCGAAGTGTGATGTGGTTCAGTTCTACGTATATCTTGGAGCTTTAATTTCAAACACTGGTGGATGCGTAGGTGAATTGAAAAGACGTATGGCAGTATCTAGAACAGCAATGGATAAACTGAAGGAAATATGGGGGAATAGAAACATTACCAAGGCCACTAAAATCCGGCTGGTCCGAACTCTAGTTTTCTCCATGTTTCTGTGCGCTGCAGAGACATGGGAGCTCCGTGAAATCGAGAAGAAGAAGATAGACGCTCTGGAAATTTGGTGCTGGAGAAGATTGCTTGGGGTATCGTGGACTGACTTTCGTTCAAACACCTCCATACTCCATACTCCAAGAACTCGGCATCAGCAGCGTCTGTCTACTGTGGTACAAACTCGCATCCTGAAATTCTTCGGTCACGTAACAAGACTGAATTTTGACTCCATTGACCGTCTTTCGATGGACCGATCCAATAAAATCTGCAGTGAGTGGTTCTTTACATGAGCGCACGAGGAAGTCCACCAACAGAGAGAGATGGCGAGATGGGAAGATAGCGAGATGTTGTGAGGCAAGCCACATCAGCCGTTAACAAACGTACTCCGTGATGGCCACGACCACTCTGTCAAGAGTGATACGAAAGAGAAGAAGAATCACTTAATCACACAAAATAAAAGTAAAAGCAAGAATAAAAAATTATGAGCTGTAAATAGAGAACGCAGCCGAAGATAAACTTTTCTTTCAATTAAAAAAACTGATGATTTGTAGTTCAACTGTTTTTCTTTCATTTACCATTTTCCCTTACAGAGAGATTCTGTTTTAAATATCATAATAATTGTAAATGTGTCATGCTGACTTTCTGCATGTCAATCGACCATATGTACTTGTTGGGGTACGAGACGCGAAACAAAAAACGTACATATACGTCAAAAATACTTTAATGACATGTAAGTCATCAAATTAATTTGTATACATAAAACAAACTTTATGAGTCTCCTATTTACGCATGAAAAACTTATCGACGAATGTCATTTGTAGAATTATTAAAACTATTTTCTAAAAGTTGTCATTTTGCAGATGTGACCTTATTACACCACGGGAAATTAATGAATATCTTATAATTATAATAAATAGAGTTCCTTTTGAAAGAGTTCGTTCCGGAACGTATTGTTACCTTACACTATTTCTGCCGCCAAGCAGTACTGTGAGCATTACTGTACTTCGGTATTGAAGGGTAAGGGTGTTGGAGAAATTGCAGGCACATGGGACATTTCCATTTATGCCTCAGGGTGACAGGCGCAGTGGCAGATCTTTGCGATGTAAAGTCTCTGAGTAGTACCACCAGTAGCAGTACCAGTAGTACCAGTCATTTGGTATCATTAAAAAAATTGATAATTCAAATACAATGGTGTGCGACGACTGGTCAGAAATTTCTAACTATCTGTTCGTAATAATACGAAATTTTCTATTTCAGAGCCGTGAAATTAATAGAGACAATTTATTCAAAATCGACGCTATTCAATTTCGTGTCCAGTTCAGCGATAATTTGCCTAACAGGATTCAATGTTACGGTAAGCACGTTTGCATACTGCACTCGCTTCATATTTGTTACGGATCTGAGACTATACAAATCAAGAAAACTCGAACCCGCTTCGGATATCGCTTGTGCACTAAGTCCAATTCGAATCCGAGAAAATACGGATATCGCTTGTACAACTAGAGTTAAAATGATCCTAATTATTTGTATCTTGATTTTATTGAATATCTTGAGTTTTACTATGATGATATTAATTTATTTTCTGTGATATTACGCCATTTGTTTGTTATAATTATTAATACAAAGATCGAACACAAAGGTGAATTCCTACGATCTCACAGGATTGTAATCCACGTCTGTAATGCCAATCAAAGGCAATCTATTTTGTTAGTTTGAAAAATTAAAGCTCTCAATGTAATTTGATAATAAGCACAGGTAATAAAACTACTTTTATTTAAACTAAATCGCGTATATTTCGCATTGGAAATCTGCGTGCAAAAGCGTTTTTTGCACGCGAGCGTGGAAAAGGTTTTTGAGATTCAAACTTGTGGTGCACCTAACTTTTCTTTCGATGAAAAAAAAAAGATAATGACAGGTTCAACTACGCGATTTGACGTGCATTACATAAATCTGTTGTTATATTTCATTCACATTATTGTTGATTTTAAATTGACAATGATAATAAAATAAATTGTGTTTATTAAATTATTTTCATTCATCGAAGAACTAAAATAATTTCAATAATCACTTAATCACACAAAATAAAAGTACAAGAAAGAATAAAAATTGATGAGGTGTAAATTCAGAACGCATCCGAAGACAAACTTCTTCTTTTAGCTAAAAAAAAACTGATGTTATAGAGTGCAACCATTGACTTACAAATAAATGGACGACGGGTCTAATACAAAAACTACGAAAAAAATGTCCCAAGTCAACCTATTTAAACGTAGTGACATGTAAAGGAATATGAAAAAGCTAAAACGTTGAATTTAAATTGTAATGTCATCGCAGTACCGTCTAATTTTGCTTGCTTCGCTGTCAGTCGAACAAACGAAGACTAAAGCGTGAATGACGCTCTGTATACGATTTTAACGCCCTATAAGTTCGGACACTTTTTAGCGCGGACCCGACATCCATATAATTGTAAGTCAATGAGTGCAACTGATTTTCTTTCACCTACCATTTTCCTCACTATAGTGAGATGAAAAGTTGTGTGTTTCATTCGACAGCAAAGTTATTTTGCGTCTCGTGCCTTGAAGCCCACGCTACGCTCTGGAATCTATTTTTGAACCGCTCGCTTCGCTCGTAATTCAGTCATAGCTTCCTTCCCTTGCTCAGGTTTCAATACAAGCACTCGCGTCAAACAACAACTTTGGAGCCTTGTTTAACAAATAACTATTTTTTCAAATAAATCAACAATTAGGGCCCTAAATAGATCCCAAGGTCACGGCTGACTGTGGCAAAGTCTACAACTAGTTATGTCTAAAAATTGCATTAAATTGTTAATTTAAACACTTTATTTCCAATTTACTAAAGAACATACAAAACGTTTGTTAGTTAAAAAAAAACAAATAAACACGATTAAGATCCCAAAAAACAGTTTCATTTCGTGTGTGTCTTAATAATGAAAACCTAAGAACTCGATATCGATAACGAGCACTTTAAAAATAATGATACTGTAAGCTTCCATAAAAGGATTCTAGAAAACGTGGTCTATATCGGCAAATTGTGAAATGTTATTGTTTCAGACTATTGACGATCTGGCTTTCGTCGTGATGTTCCTTACATTTCTCTGCCTTTCTTTGACGCAGATATTCTTTCTCTGTTTCTTTGGAGATATTATAATGAGATCAGTAAGTTTCAATAGTTATAGCATGTAATAAACAACCTTATCAGAATAGATTATAAGCACATTAGACGCTTTGAAATTTGTTTAAGTTTGTTCAATAGATTAATAAAGTAGCTTTCTTTATTATCCATATTAGTAGGGTAATTAAAATGACATTTTTTTTTTGTTTTGGTTTATCAGAACAAAGAAGTGGGTGATGCTGTCTATAATTGTAACTGGTATATGACTAGTGCCAAAAACGCTAAAATGCTACACTATTTACAACTGAGGTAAATATATTTTTTTAATTTTAAGTGAGTACAGATTGCAATACAAACTTAAAATAAGCTCGTAGTCGGTATTGTCATTTGTCCTGAGATTTTAAAATCTGCAATGTATCAAGATCAAACTTTTTCTTTTTTTTACATTATAAAACTTTATTTTATGATATGAGTCATTATCAGAAACTGTTCATATAAATAAATAAATATTAGACAATGTCATATTTATTCTATAAAGTGTTTTTAACCGCAGCAGTCAAACATGTTTAAAACAATGTTGTATTTAATTTTACAGGGCACAAAAACCATGTAAATTAACCGCATACGGTTTCGCTGATGTAAACGTGAATGCTTTTTCTAAGGTATTTGTCTTGGTCTTACTGCATTTTTTAATGTTTTTTTTTTACTACAGCCTCGTCAAAGGAGGGTTATGATTTGTATGATCATTTGAAGTATGAAGGATCATAGTCCTAAATTATTTACCTAATCGATACTGCTTTTCAAAATGGCAGTGTGTTCGAACTGGGGCTTGCACTTCTGACTTTTTCGGAATTTATGTGCGAAATCTAATTTGAATTTTATCATGAGCTTCTCGGTGAATTCACTCAATTAAAGTTTTTGTAATCGATTAGTGAAACGAAAATTTAATCACAATCGAACGAATATCTGAGTGTAAGGATTTGTAGGAGGATTTGAAATTAGATTTCGGAAATCTTCAAATGCTTTTATAGGTTAGGCAAGAAAAAATTCTAATCTCATATATCATCACTCAGTATTGAATCACATATTTTTTTATGGTAATGAGCAGAGAAATCGTGTATCCCATTTTATTATATAAAACCCAGTTATACCAACTAATTACATTAAACAAACCATTTCATTTAATTAATTAATCGATTTGTAGTTGGCCGTACCGGTTGGCCATCACTAAACTGTCTATGGTCGGGTCAATGATCTGTTCGTTTACTTTTCTGGTACAATGGACTGGAACAGACTATAACTAAACCGCGGACACTCCATACAACGGTCGAAAATTATTTACCTACTACTACTACATACAGCAAGGCGCTAACTGCACACGCGTAAATGTGTGCGTGAAGTGGCAGGGTAACCTATCACTTTCTCGCACTACTACTCAACATAGCGAAAATTCTAACGCGAATCTGTTATCTATGATTCTATTAATAGAATCCTAATAATTGCACTTGTCTATTGGGTATTTATATCGATATATTATTATATTTTACATTAATTCACTGACTGAGTAATGAAGATTTATTTCAAAAATATACTAAAAGCACTTAAAATATTATATTTCGGACATGTACTTTTAAGTAAGGTAACCAAGGTATTTGAAATTGCTTGTCCAAGTTTGGTTAGTTAATAATTAGGTATATTCACTACCTACGTAATATTTATCGGCAATACGAATAGAAAATTTGCGAAGTCATGGCGTCTCATTATATTGATATAATAAATCTGTATTTTTTAGACATACTTATATTACTCTGCAGTAAATAAATGAAGAAAACAGTAACTGAATGAGTCTCAGACATAAGTTTCTTTTACTTACTTCGTTTCATCTTTCGGAAAATGATGATAAACAGCCGCACAGAGCACAATTCACGACCATTGTAAATAGTAACTTAAAATTATGTTTTATATTAACGTACAAGTTTCGTAATAAATAAATGAAAACTATATTCAAATATCAAAGCCGTCTTTGAAAACAGCTCGCCGGCAGCCTTGTTGTCGTTCAGTCAATGTGACCGGCAATGTGCGGGGCGTGGTGCGGTATCTAAAATTAGGGAGGGGCGGAGAGTGTCCGTTCTCTTATTCTTTATTATCTGACGTCGCTTGGGTTAGTAACCGCTGAAAAATAAAAATGAAATGAAATTTCGATATTTGTCTTGATTTAGTCGTTGAATTTCATTATATCCTACTATTCAAGTTTGTATAGGGATTTCTCTTTGTATCAAAAATGATTAAATCAAATTTGTTACGAGGAAAAAAGTGCTGTAGATATAGTCTGTATATATAGTTCTTAAGAAGAGAATTAATAAAAAATATTAAAAGAACTTATATTACAATTTCCATCATTACATTTTTTTTGTAAGTCAATATTAAAATTAAAGATAATTTTGTTTTCATCTTTCAATAGGTATTTTTCCACGTAGTTGAGTTTTTTTACCTTAACATTAATTTTTATAATTTTTTTCAGATCATGAATTCGGCTTGGTCTTACTTCGCACTTCTGAAAACTGTTGACAGATGAACCGTGTATATAGATATAAAGCAACTGCTTTAAGTAAATGTTTCTGTCTAGGTACAATTCAAGACATCACTGCATATGCAAAATGAACGTTCAACATTTTGATTAGGTTTAATTTATAAGCACTAGGCTGCTCACAGATTGACTGCTAACCGCTCACGCGATGCGCTCCTCCTACCGCAAAATGGCGGCTATTTGATTTCGCAAATTACAAAAGCATTCAGTTTAAATACAAGTTTTTATAAATAAAAATTATTATTCTGCATTGCTAAATAAATACCCTCCGTACTACCAACAAAAACATCTCAAATAAAATGCAGTAATACACCGCAAATCCTGCACTTAAAAAGCACTAATGAAATTTTTTGTGTACTTGGATAAATATGATAATATTCTGTTTGAGTGGTTCTAACGTTTACCATGAAATTATTCCTTAAAGTATAGTTTATAAACATTTATATTCAGGGTAAACTTAAAAAACGCTACTTACGGTATGTTTTCAAAAAAATAAACACCGAAATCACCAGCCCAAACAATACTCACACGATTGTCGTGACGTATTTTTGAAGTTGTTTATTTTTTTTTAATGACAGACCCCAGGCATTAAAAACTTTATGGTTTGCTATAGTAGTTACCGAAATAGCAAATAATATTAGTTCTTTTACCTGTTATAACTTCGATATCCGATAAATCAGTATAAAATCATCACCGGTACCTCTAGGTGTGGTATGCGTCTACGGCTGCATGAATCGTGTGAGCGGTTAGCACAGTTAATGCATGAAGTCGCAATCAACTTCATGCAGCCGAGACCTCGACTGCATGCAGTTAATGCGTCCAGTATTTATCAACTTCATGCAGTCGTGGTCTCGGTTTCATGAAATTGATTACGACTTCACGCTTTAACTGCGAACATGCAGTCAATATGTTAGCAGTTTAAAATGATTTTTCATTGAAGCGTTACTGCACCGGCTTTTAAAATGTTGTTAGCTGTTAACGATAGTCAAATAAAGGAGTCACTACATTTATTATCATGGAATCGACTTGAACTGTTTTATGTTCACGCATATACTGGTAGTAGTAAACCTCACGTAAGGGTGCTAGTGACATTACAGGCACATAGGATATTTCAACTTACGTTTCAGGGTGACGGGTGCAGTGGCAAAGTCCCTTAGAAGTATTTCCTTAGCGCTATGGGATCCTTCAAGAAGCTTATTTACAGGGCTCGCAAAGGCTGGCAACACATAGGCAGATCATCTGATGTTGCAAATGTCCATGGGTGACGATGTCTCCCATCAAGTGGCTCGTCTGGTAGTTTGTCTCCATCTTTACATAAAAAAAAGATCTTGGTGATTTAAAGCTCTGATTGTCACTGCACCTGTTATGGACAGGCGTGTCCATGTGCGCTTACCACCAGGCGCACGACTTGTTTGTGCCATCATTTTGTGTCATAAACCAAAACAAAAGCAATCTAGGGTTTTGCTTCCGCTCGAACCGGCTGACGCGAACCGCATTTCGATTTCACTCCAATTACTTTGACTTAAAACTTTTTCTGAACGTCTTTATGCGACTCCGTATCAATGAATCTGGTGACTCCCTAAACAAGCTGCATTATTATTTAGTTGCATCAACGCTCTTGTTTAGTGCAGTAGCAACCACGCAAAATTGTGTGTACCTTATAATTTAGTATTAGTCAGATAATTGTACATTACTTTGGCATTGAACGACAACGTCACGTTAGCACAATTAATTAATAATTTCGTGTTTCGAAACATTTTGCCCTCACATTGTCATTTATGGATGTATCAAATTTACTTCATATTTTGTGTATACCTAATTGTACACGAGGATGACGCCTACGTCATCATAATTGTACGAGGATGACGCCTACGTCATCCTCGTACAATTATACATATTTCTACCAACCAGCTAGGGCTGGTTTGTGGTTTTAGCAGGAACCCAATCTATAGGCAACGTGTGTATCACAGGTCATCTCAAATTAATAATATAGGTAATATAATGTAATATTTTGACCCGTCACGTATCCTAGGGACATAAGGCATCCTAAACGATTTTGGTAAAAAATAAAAATTATCAATTTGTGTTTTTTTTATGAATTTATTAGTTGTTTGAAAATTGTGAATATTGCAGCTCCAGTATGCTACAATAAATCCACCACGGATTGAAGATAAGTCGATTAAATATAATATCAAAATTCTTTGTTAAAAACTGCACCTTAATTTATTTACGTAGCGTTTAAATTGCTGTTAGAAAAATGTTTCTCAACTTTCTAAAAATAAATATGTTTTATTTACGTCAATAAATTCCAGAAAATAAACGATAACCATTTCTTTTCTACCTACAAGATTTTTACTTTATTGGCAATCGACGTTTATATAATTATACTAATCGGAAGTAGGCAGGATAAACTTTAGGAAAATACTAATTATGCTGCACCAGTCAGAGCTATTAGTAGCAATAGAGCTCCTTGTGAAAGAGTTCTTCCAGGGAAGTACTGTCACCTTACCTATTTCTGCCGACAAAAAGTTACATAAGCATTACTGCGTTCCGGTTTTTCAGAGTAAGGGTGCTAGTGAAATTACAGGCACATAGGACTTGTCAAATTCTGTCTCAGTATGATGGATCTTTGCGATTTAAAGCTCTGAGTGGCACTGCAACTGTGTTATGGACAAGCGTGTAGCTTACCATCACGACTTGTTCATCCCGTCAATTGATATCATGAAAAAAAACCGCCTACAGAAGACAATAGTAAAGAGCTCAAGGTTTGATGGCAATTAGTCGAGTTACTTATTAACTGTAAGTGTTTCGAAATTTTAAGGCTGGAAGAAATTTTCGTGAACAAGAAATGATAGTATGATTTTTTCTTTACTACTTTTTTACTAGCTGAAAAGAGACTAAACATATCGCCCACCGAAGTATATCTACTTTACAAAATTAAAAAGCCCTCAAAATGCTCTTTATTCCAACCTAATAAACAACCTAGTGGATATTTAGCACAAATCATCTTAGCTTTACGTTAAACTGCCTCCGTGGCCGAACGGTTACCATGCCGGACTGCCACGCAGAGGTCCCAGGTTCGATTCCCGGGCCGGGAGAAATAGTTGTATGGCCTACAATTATTTCTCTCGTGAGTTTGGGTGTAATTTGTGGTTGTCTATGTGTGTGTCCATGGCACCCGCGACACAGGGTTTTCCCTAGTGCGGGGCTATGTTGAGTGTGTGCGTTATTTATTATTTATATTTACGTTAACATTTTATAAACAAATACTTGTTACGACTTCTCATTGGAATACAGTGGACTGTATACATAGTTAAATGTACAATAAATTATGGTTTACAAAAACAAGAACCTTTTTTCTGTGTCGATGTCATTGATCACATGGATTATAAGGACATCTAAAGACTGTTACCAACTTAGTATTTCATTGTGACTTGCATTTAAAACATCTGATTATGCAAATGTTTCTTTGGACCTTTGGTGTAAGAAAGGGTTTTCTATTGATTGTACGAGAGCTGCTTTGAATACCGAATGTTAGTTACATTGAATTGATATTTTTTTGGTAAAACACTACTCTAGCACTGAAATTGTTTTTCTTTATAATATTAAGCGACGAGACAAACAAGTCGTGTGCTTGATGGTTACACGCCTATCTACAACAGTTGCGGTGCCACTCAGAGCTTTAACTCGTAAAGATCTGAGGGGCACCGCCACTGCACCCGTCACCCTGAGACATAAGCTGACAAGTCCCATATGACTGTAATTTCACCAGCACCCCTTCAAAACCGGAACACAGTAATGCTGACCTTACTGCTTGGCGGCAGAAGTAGGTAAGGTGGCTATATGGCAGTACTAATCCTGAACGAACTCTTTCACAAGGGGCTCTACTACTACAAAAAAATTCATAAAAAGGTCTAAAATACTTAATAAGTTTCGTTATAGAAAGTGTTAAGTACTGCCAAGTACTTCCCTGGGCGAACTCTTTCACAAGGAGCTTTATTGCTATCTTCAAATTCAGCTCATGCTGGCTATAATTTTTCAAGAATTTAATCTAATTGATACTGTCAATCTTTCTAATGCTGGCTTCCCACAGCCCGTAGTTTGAAATGCGCTGATTTGAACGGGCGAGCTCACGCTTCGGCGAATCCGGGTGGCCTCAGGCCGACGACGCGCCTTACGACGCGTATTTGGGTATGCATCGAGAGCATAGGACTCCCGTGGCGGATCCGAACAAGCCGCGACGGGTGAGCACGAACGCGCTCGGGCGGCTCTCGTCTCACGGTGCGTAGGCGCGAGCTCGCGCAGCGCGGGCCATGCGAAGCCGCCTTAACATATATGTATTTTACGGAGGATCATATACCTGAACGATGTGGTTTTGGAGCTTGAAACGAATACATAAATGTAGATTATTTGAATGAAAACATAAGGCTAACGTGAAAGGCATATTAGAAGAGGACGGCCACGTAAAACATTCTCAGACCGAATTGAGAGTGTTCCTGAAAAGGCTGGCGTGCAAAGTGAGAAAAATAAGGGGGCCTATATGAAAAAAACATTGTCATGGAAGTGTAGCGAGAGAGGTTTATCAGGATCATGCCAAGTGGCGACCGATAGTCTCTGCCTATATCAATGGGAATTCTGGGGCATGGGTATAAGTAACTCATCATGTATATTTTTACCTTTACTTTTTTGTATTGTTAAAATTATTTGACGCGACAGGCGACGTTATTTGTGTTCAACAATCAAAGTGAAGTTAATTAAAATAGGAAAAGACTCCTACCAATTAAAATAAAACATTGCCATCTCGCTGTGGGTAACTTCGACGTAACCAACAGCGAAAATATATAGGATGGAGGTATACTTATTTATACCTATACCCTTTAACTTTTTTTTCACGCATATCAATTTCTGCAAAATTTATTTAAAACCTTCAGCCTAACACATCTTCCGTTGAAAGTAACTAAACTAACTCTAATATAAATATTATATTA